TCAAATAACAATTTTATTCATGTTACATTTTAAATCAAGTGTCATTTAAAATAGAACAAATTTTGCGAACAATCGTTTTTAATGTGTCGAACATATGCATGAGTCAATTAAATTCAAACAAATAAATTGTTAGTTGAATAAATTGAGGAATGAATATTTGTGACAATAAAAAGTAAAACGGCGTTCCATATAACCATGGATGGGTCCAAAAAAACAATCATAACAGTAAACTCAAAAGAGAACCGGCTCCAAAGAAAACGAAGACCGTTTCATTTGCAGGCAAGTCATGGCATCGGAGTTTTGGAATGCGCGTGGGATAATAGTAGAAATAATTCAAAAACTGACTGAAAAATAGTAAATGAGATCAGAGGGAAATCCACTTTCAATAGTGAAAGCACGAGCCTTACTGCAGATGGATTCAGTGAATATAGTTACACAATGGTTGACAATATCATTGAAAATACCTCCTACCGATCTGAGAGGTGAGGAACTTTTGAAAATGAACGAGAAAACCTCGGTTTTCCTGAGACCCACGAACGAGAACGGAATTTTTAACACTTTTGAGAACCTTAAAAAATAATAGTAGTATTGATGCAAACAATATCAGTTCGAAAATAATAAAACTCGTCCCTGAAATTTTAGCAAAACCTCTTACACATCTGATAAATATCTGCCTGGTGAAGGGAGAGTTAAAAACTGGGGAGAGCAACCCCCATTCTGAAGAAAGGTAATGCTAATAATTGTGACAACTACAGATTTATAACAATAACTTCTTTAAACTCAAGAATAATAGGAGCTATTATCAAGGACAGATTAACCAACTTTTCAAAAAAGGAAAAACTCCTAGATGATCATCAGTACGGTTTTCGTTCTCTCAGATCAACCTCTCAAGCTGTCACCGATATAGTGCACACGATAGTCAAAAATCAAGATGTAGGGATACATACTCGTGCAATGTGACCTGTCAAAGACATTTGATGGTGTTTCGTTGAAAAAACTCGACAAATATGGAATACTCAGAACAGCATTAGATCTCATCGAGTCATACCTGAAAGACACACAGGAGTATGTATCACTAAATAACAAGACGTCAAAAACTCTAGAAGTCAAACATGGGGTACCTCAGGGCTCAGTGCTAGGTCCCCGATTGTTCATCATTCACATAAACGACTTACCAACATTTATTGATACTGCTGATGTTTTATGTATGCAGATGACTCTACCCTCTTGTTACAAGATAAAAACTTGAGCGTGATAGAACGTAAGTAATAGGAAACATTATTGAAATTGGAAATCTTCTCAAATTCAAAAGTTATGTCCCCAAATAAAAGTAAATCAAAGAACATCACTTTCTGAAAAAATCGGCAAGCGCTCGACGATGAAACAACAGTCAAGCTACTGGGTTTTCATATTAATGCTCAACTGAATTGGAAAGTACATAAAAATGAAACTCAAAAAAAAGCTATCCTCAGAGAAATCTCAGAGAAGTACTATCTAGCGAAGTATTGAAGACTGTTTACTATGGCATGGTGCATTGCCATCTTGTATATGGGGTTCTATTGTGGAGAACAAGCCCGGCTTGTTATCAACTATTGGTGAGCCAAAAGGAAATAATAAGAACTATTGCCAATTTGGGTAACAGAACACACGCCAAGCCAATTTTCATTGAAATGAAAATCTTGACATTACCTTGTATATATATGCATATATGCAATTCTATGCATACATACAAATAAAGATAAATATATTTCGGGAACAGATCTTCATGGACATGACACACGAAATAAAAATCAATATAGGATGTCAAAAGTAAATAACGAAAAAACAAAAATACAAACTGAATATTTGCCAATGAAACTGTACAACCAAATACCAGTGGAATGGAAGTATCACACAACTAAAAAATTAAAATACCAACTCAAACAATCATTACTACTGATTCCGCTATATGAAATAAATGAAATTTTTTTTCATTCATGGGTCTGAATACTTATATTTTTGCCTGTTAGGAGTGTGGACGACAGATTTTGTGATAAATGTCTGTGTTTTCCATCTGCATGCCTCTAAAGTTAAAACTGTTCACATAAGTAGGCAGGTAGGTAGGTAGGTCCGAAGTGAGTGGGTCTATTCGACCCTCCACCGCAACCCACAAGGATTCATTGTGGCTCACACCTATTCACACTCGACCAAATAAACCCAGCTCCTTAACGAAGCTGATTACTTTGTATGGTGAGTGGTCTTTCAGGTCAGATGGTGAAAGTACGGATCTGCCGAACTCTAAGAACCTGAATCAGCCCTCAGCGGGGCAGGCATAAAGTATATGCTCTGCTGTTTCATCATTTTCCAGGCAGAGGCGACACACATTGTCTTCCGACAGTCCAAGTCTCTGCATATGATGATTCAAGCATATGATGATTCAAATGGCAGTGACCTGTATAGTGATCATTGGTCTGACAATCATCACATAAATCCAATGGATTTGTTTGGGACTTAAACCCCAAGTTTTACCACAAATCCTTCGACATGTCCATAGAGACAGTCTGGCTTTGTGTAAAACTTTTTCCAAGTGAGCGTTCCAGGTAAGTCTTTCATCAAGGACAATGCCAAGATATTTCACCTCCGTTCCAAATGGAATGACCACACCATTGAGGGAAAGTGGCGTTAGATCGTCCAATTTTCTCCTCTTGGTGAAGGGGATTAACACAGTTTTGCTGGGGTTGACAGACATCTGCTCCCTCAAGCACCAACTGTGAACAACGTCCAACGTGCTTTGGAGGATATTACAAGTTACCCTGTCCGACGTGGACCTTGCCAGGATGACAAGGTCATCTGCATAATCTTGCAGATCGACTTTTGTTCTGTCGAGGGCATCAAGCAGACTATCCACCAGGAGCGACCTCAGAAGGGTAGATAGTAACCCACCTTGAGGGCATTCCCTGGTGAAACTGAACGTGATAGCCTCGCCTTGTCGTAGTTGCAGTTCTGTTTACCAGCATGGCATAGATCCAGCCAGTTATGGTCGATTCTATACCCTTCCTAGCCAGAGACAATCCTATTCTTAAATATTTTTTTGAGTTTGAGAATACTCTCTACAATATTGTGACGTACCTAAACAAAAAACTGTCGTGTGACTATTGAAACATACTGTTTTCTGTAAAAAAATTTAAAGGTGAATGAATAACTCACCTTATCTTATCTTATCTTAAAAAAAGGTTAAACTATCAACGGGGAGTAATATAAGAACTTATTGCAACGTTTGAGTGAAGAAATCAAGCTAAAACGACCGCATTTGGCGTATAAAAAAGTGTTGTTTCATCAAGACGATGCACCAGCTCCCAAATTCATTATGGCAATGAACAGAATTAACGAATTTAAGTTTGAATTGGTACCTCATGCACCCTATTTGTCAGATTTAGTCCCCTCGTATAATTTTCTGTTCCCAAAAATGGCTCAGCGGTCAAAGATTTTCCAACGATGAAGAAGTAATGTCGGATTTTTTGAGCAGCAAGACAGTTCTTATTATAAAAACGGCATCGAACTCATTGAACATCGCTGGAAAAAGTGTATAGAGCTGCAAGGAGATTATGTTAAGAAATAAATACATTTTTTCTAAAATTGTTGTGTCTTCTTTGTCGGGCCGGGTACTTCTGGTACCACATCTCCAGCCACACTGCATTTACTATATAAAGTTTCATTTTTCTTTACACGTCCACTCATTCAAGTCATCTTCGTCCTCCAGCAAATGGAGACCCGCTAGATATGACAAACATGCAGATACTTGCTTCTACATGGTGAAATTGGAAGCTTTTTCACTTTATTGGAATCCAAACGTCACCTTGAAAAAGTGGGACTTACCTTCACAGTATTATCAATGGAGAAACACAATGTCTGCTAGTCTACAAAATTATTCAATCAATAATGAAGACTTCGAATTTGGTAACGTTGTAAAATTTGTTTCTATTCCTCATGAATCTCACCGTCACATTTTTATAGTGCTGAATCCAATGACATCCAAAATGAAGACGGTCATTAGCAAAACTTCATCGGGTCAGGTATGCAAGTTGCAAGTTGACATCATCGTGCAAGACTGCAACGTTCAACTTTCCAAAGATCAATACGACTCCGTTCTGGCTATCTCGGACGCCATGGAGAGGATGATGATCAGCTGGCAGTTCTTTTCCATCAGGCCCAGAGAGAAAATAGCTGAGAACGCTAGAATCTGGTGGAGATACGCAAGCTATGCCTTGCTAGAACAACGAGTGAAACCTTACACTTGGAGCAGGATGAGGAGGGTCAGACAGCACTACAAGGAGTACGTTGAGACGTATAAGCAGATCATTTTGAATCCTAACGATACGGAACTGAAACTGGATCTGCAAAAACACGAAGATAATTTATCTATCGTCAATGTGGTCTTGGCTAGACAGCAAGCTAGGTTGCTAGTGAGTTGGTTACAGATTCTAGGCAGCATACGTTCATACATTTAGAATTTTCATTGAAACTCTTCTAATCCTCACGCAAGATTCCTTCAGTATTTAGTATTCCCAGAGTTTTTTGCAAACGTCATTTTTGTTTTAACTTTCGCCTTGAGTTGTATAACTTACAGATATATATTTCATCATAATTGATGACTATTTCAACAAAAAATAGTTATAAATGTTCTAAACGTTTGATTCAAAAAGAAACATAACAGTAAGATGATCAACCCCAAAGATAGAAAATGTCTTTTTCACAAGGAACAAACAGTTTTGGGAATGTTTGTTAAATATCCTGGGAATTAAGTGGTTATGTTAGTTACTGTCAGTTAGGAGGTCAAGCTTGGTTTATCATTGCTTACACATATTCAAACTCGACCAAATAAATCCAGTTTCCCAACGAAGCCGATTGCTTTATCTGGTGAGTGATCTTTCAAGACAACTGGCAACAGTGGGACACTGCCAAACAACTGAAATTCTGAGCAGGTTTGCAATAAGACAAGCACAGAGTTATGGACCAATATATAAAGACACAATGCTCAATGTGTCTATATACAGGGTGTCCCTGGACTTCCTCTTTTCCTCTCGGGAATGTATAGATGGGGTCAAAATATAACCAGTACTTCATATAACTTTTTTTCCTATTTTTAGGAAAAAAAGTTATATGAAGTACTGGTGATATTTTGACCCCATCTATACATTCCCGAGAGTAAAAGAGGAAGTCCAGGGACACCCTGTATATTGGTCAACGAATCGCCTTCTTGAGAAGGCGATGCGTTGTTTTCTGGTTGCATACTTCTAGGTCTGTCGACAGTAGCAATAATGGGGGAACTGAGAAGCTCTGGCTCGTGATCAGATTTCACAGAGAGGACAGTTGGGGTCATTTTGATCGACGTCCATCGTCTCTGCAGACTAACGGTCGGATTCTTTGGTTAATTCGTCGTCCGAATTTCACGAGTTACTGGGAAATGAAGGGTCCATCACGGCAGAGCCCCGGCTCTACAGAGGCATACATCTTTTTGGCACAGACTTCAACAAGAGGAAGGCTTCAGGATGAGGTGTTATTTAGGAGGACTCGGAATATTCTAATACCCTCCACTGCTGACTTGGCACAGACTTCAACAAGAGGAAGGCTTCAGGATGAGGTGTTATTTAGGAGGACTCGGAATATTCTAATACCCTCCACTGCTGAGCACAATATTTTTGTCAGGTTATGTCACTGTTATATTTGTTGAATCCTTTTATATAGCGTGTGCTGCCTAGGTTCGCTTCAGTCTACATCTATTAATGAGATGATGACAATGAAGATCCGTAAAAAACTTAAAAAGTTTTCAGGTTCAGGAAAGAAGCATTGGCGAAAAAAGCTTTTGGTCTATGTTGCCGTCTCCTGAAAGACTACTCTTATGCGAGAAAATTGGATACTTCGAAGATAAAGAACAAGAGAATCAAAAGGAAAATATGGGTGAGTCATGTCTAAATTTCCGCAAGAGATTGTAGAAAAAAATAATTCTATTTTCCAGAACACAACTACAATTTTCGTCTCGGCAACCTGAATTTGGTTTTAACGGATAACTACAAAGAGATCATGGTACTGACCCTCACACAAACTATGTTCTCATTGGTTCCGAATTACTCGCAAGAAACTTTCAAATTCAATTTGAAAGTAGAGGGCATCATAGTCGAAGGCTGCAGCACTGAAGATCATCTGATACCGATAATTTCTTCCGAACACTTGAGTGACAGTCCGGCATATTTTCTGAAAGTGGAACTCGAAAAATATCCTAAAAAGGCCTATTCTAAATACAAATTGAGTATCATTATGGATTCCGTAGAGTGTATTTATAACAAGGTGAGTGAGTCAAGATACAGAACAATTCGTATCGTGATAAGTAGAATTTGGAACCTCCGGCGTGAAACAGAACAAAAATACTGTCTCTCGACGCTCGTTTCGCTAATCAAGTGAGCATTATCAGGAGATGATACTGTCTTTCGACGCGTGTTTCGCTAAACATCTCCTGATGATGCTAACTTGATTTACGAAACGCGCGTCGAGCGAAGGTATTTTTGTTCTGGTGTGAGAAAAAAGTTTTCGATAGATTCAATTCGCATCCTTTCAAATTTGTCAAAATTCATTTGTTTAAAGATATCTTTTTTCCAATTTTGCTGTAATGTATGTATCTTGACCTGTTAACAATTAAAAATCCAGATATTCTTTCATGTTTTTGAAATGTTTTTATTTGGTTCAATGCTAATTTCTGTTGCAGCCATCTATTGAGGAACTAGAATCTTATTTGAGTAGAGAAAACTGCCCTACGAAGAACGTCTTGAACGTCATCAGTGAAAAACCTCCAAAAATATTAGACCAAATGAAAAAAAAGTTATCAGAAGGTTGGGAATTCAATTTCAATATCAAAGTTCCTTATTTTGTCATTCCAGAAGTTAGTTCCTACTTACAGTAAGTGACAGAAACTTTCAATGCTCCCGAATATTTTTTTATTTCTTGCAGCTATGTTGAATTCCTTTTCTGTATTGTTCATTCCTTCTTGCAGTGTTTGTGTATATCATTCCTATTCTACACTGCATGCATACTGTTTTTTAGGGCAGAATATTTACTTGTCGTTGATCTCGGACGATACACAGTCAGTACAGAATTATGCCACCACAAATATATAGCTGAAAATGCCACTCAGATGGAACTAGAAGAACAACTATATACCAAACTAATAATGAGTTGTACAGACGTCCAAATACTTTTCTGTGATACTAGTGATAACTGGAAAGATGCCAGGAAAGAGAAAGACACTGAAATGCACGTCATTCCCAAAACTTCTTTCACCTCAACCTACGCCCTTTCTGTGGCCAATCTAAAGACAATACCAAGGTAAAATACCAAGTATAATAAAATAAATTTGTCCTTTTACTATGTGTGTCTCTGACTGATATTAAGTGTTAGGATTCCTGTAATCTTCAAATTAGATCTACTGGTTTTTGTTTGTTGTGGTCATGTTGACTTGTTGAAGCAAGTTAATACTTTATAAAGGACTTGTTGAAGCAAATTAATACTTTATAAAGGCTATTCCTGTCTCCTCTTGACATTGAGAATGTTAAAGTTCTTGTAATCTTCATATTGGACCCACTAATTCGTTCGTTATACCAACCTTGACTTGTTGAAACAAGTTAACATATTTTGATCTACCCAAATCCATTTCTTTTTTGATCAGTTTATTATAATCCATGAAACAAAAATTTCCTTCAGTTTTAAAACGCTAGGAATCAATGACAATTGATAATTATTTATGATGCACTGTTTGGAACCTTTGGTGTAGTAATGAATATTACTTCAAGAGGAAGATGATCACTTGGTGATCGAAACACGTGTCGAGGTGTTGAAAATTACGGTTTGGTATTGGGAGAAAACTCCAGTAATATTAATTGGTTATTACTCTGCTAGACCCATACTAATTTCCTAGAAACATGACAAAACTTCTTCTCTGAAGAACCATTGTTAATGGCTCAAACTAGTGATTTCATTACAAGTTTATTCAACTAGTAATGAGTATAAACAAAATAGAATTCCGACATTTAGTCATGGATAGTTGCTGTAGGTTTCTTACTCTGGGAGTTGGCAGAATCTAGAAAGTTGATGTTTGCTGTCCCGATGGTTATTGTTGGTTATTTGATGTTGTTGTTTGCATCATTAGACACAGCACTTAATATTGTAACAATGGAATTTATATAATACTGTACTCCTAGAAACTTCAAGAAAAAAATTTTTTTCCTAACAAATACAGTCGTTCAATGAAAACTGTCACAATTTTATTTCCGTTTTGAAAACTTGTTGATTTTTTCAAGGTACAAGTTCAACATTGCTTTCCAAATGCTGAAGCTCAATATATCCGAAAGAAAAATTGGACTACTACTGAAATTTTTCAATATAGATCAAATCAAGATCAATATTATTCAAGAAGACCCGCAACCAAAACTGTATAAAAACGATATTATTCTTAGAAGATTTAGTTCCGCTTATCTCAGAAAAATACAAGGAAAAATCAGAATCATCAATAGTTATTCCAAGTACAAAAGATATAAAGTTGAGAATAACAGATCGCAGAGAGTACAAAAAGCGTAAGATATGTTTGGAAACTTGATGGACAAAAAAACTGTTTCTTCTCATTTGCAGCAAAAGCGTGTCTAAGGTTCACAATAAAGACATGAATGAAGCTTGGGCAAGATGTGTGGATTTACCAGGGTTGGAGGACAACATATCTCCAAATAATAACATTGATGTCCTGTTTGGATTTGTTATAAATGAAGTGAGAATTGCTCATATAGTATTTACTTTTGAATCGGCCAAATAGGCTTCAACAGTGTGTAATGATTTTTTTCTGAAAAAAGCTTAGTCATTCTCAACAGAAAAAATCGCTGTCCGATTCAAGATTCAAATCAGGAATATATCAATCATGAAACGAATGCATATTCCTTGTTTATTTTTCAGTTCTCCCTGGTTTTCTCCCGATCAAGTGACAGTACAGATCGGCAATATTTGATGCTTCGCCTTGGAATATTCACAATGGACATTGCTCTAATGACTTTTGGACCCGCCTACCAGCTATCTCTCAACTCTATTTTGCTGACTGATAAGTTGCACACGACCCCAAGTGGACAGTACTTGGATCTCATCTTCAGTCCCGTTTCCAATACTCAAGACCTTGTTACCGTACTCTATCGAAAAGTAAGTACATTCCAACGCTTAAAGTGAATGCAGATATTCTGAACTGAAGTGAAAATAGAAATGTATGTTACAATCCACCAGATTTCAATGGTTGAGTAATTTATCGGTGTGTTAGAAGTTGTTGTTGAATTTTGGGAAAGATCAGCTACATTATCTTACTAATAAAACACCTTTTTCCACAGATAAAAATACAAAAAGTGTTTCAATAGATTTATTTTACGCCAGAGGTTCCAATTCACCTATCCTATTTTCTCCAAACCGAATATAATAATGTCAGGACCAGCAATTCCGCTTTCTGTTTCGATAAATTAGTTTGGGGGTTAAAATAGACACCAATCTGAGTGGAGATACCTACAAATAAATCTATTTTCTCTTCAGTAAACCGAAACCAACTCATCTGAAGGAATCAAAGATAAAAACTGGTTTCATTTATGCTGAAACTATTTATTATCTACCTAGTAGCGCTATTGTTACAAAATCTGATCCGTTTCAATTTTTTGTAGGTTAGTGCCAGTTGCCCAGAATTTTGGACCCACTTTCACGGGGTGGAAACATCGTTGGTAGCAAATTTTGGAACATTTCACCTGCTCCTACATCAAGAAGCCATCCATACGATCCTGAAATACTCAAAATACTTAACCAATAAGTAAATATTGAATACTATCTCATTCCTAGCAACTGAAACTATTCATTCAATTTCAGAATCCACAACCAAATATCGCCTTTCCTAAAAACCACTTTGCAGACCTGTCTGAAAAAAATTAGGGACGTCCTCCATGCCAAAACAGACTGTCCAGTACCTCCCGGATCTATAAAGTTCTCGCATTCTGCGAGGCTTTCCGATCTGAATATAACCGTGTGTGATTCAGATTTCGATATAGTAAATATACAACTATCCGGTCTCGAACTAGATTTTCTGTTCAGAGCTAACGAAAGATTCGTCTTCAGGTCGTTCCTCAGCAACATCACCGTCGAACATTTGTCGGATGTGACTTTATATCCAAAGGTAAATTTCAAATGATTTACGATTCATAATTATAGAATATAGTCGAAATATAGATACTTTTTATTGTCAATACTCCGAATAAATTTATTTATCGTGGTAGTTAGTTGGAGTATTTTTTAGTCCGAATGGCATTCTTGTATATTCATTATGTTCGATTTCTAATAGCTGATCAATATTATCAATATTTTCCAAAAACATCAAAGAAACATTTTTACTTCAATGATGATCATCAAATTATAGTTATTTGAATGCTCATATTCTCTTTTATCAAAGGTGGTTAATAATATTTATTCAAACATTTTCATTAATTTCCTCATAATCCTATCTGGAAGTTTTGTACCGAATGAATAAAATGAATGAAATAAAAATTATAGCTATATGATCTCAAACCAAACAGCACCATGCCAATTAGTGAACTGGCTGAAGTTTTTCATTGGTTCAGGTCATGGAAACTTTCGATTCCTACTCAAAACATTATACTATGGTTATTTACATAAAACTCTTCTCTCAAAAAGGTTGTTGCGACTTGCTGAATATAAATTTCGGCTTCTAACCAATCTTTGTGACACAGCCACCTATACAAGTCACTAGTTTATTCCAACATACAAGCCTCGAAGAAAAAGATTCGAGTCAGTCGTTCTCAAATGATTTTGAGTATTAGTGATGTAAGACCGGCAATAAAAAATTGCGGTAAATGGTGGAATTTAATACACCAATGGTCTCATCAGTTGTAAAACTATCAAGAAAGAAGTTGAGGTACCTGTTCCTGTTTCTTAGTTAACCAGTTGTTGTCCCCAATGAACGACAACTCACAAAAGTCAAAACTCATACGAGCTTAACGATGATTAGGATTTATGAGTATTTACCTGTTTAACGTGCGACTTTCAGCACTACATAGTAAATTGAAAGTATCGATAGATAGATTATTCTATGTCCGAACAGTTTGAACATTCGTAATCAACGTATGAGGACGAAATCGAATATATCGATATATTTGCCTATATCGTATTACCGTATTGTACTGACAGCGTATAAAATTAAATTATACTGAGAGGAACAACGAACGCACCAACGAGTATTCGAGATCCATCTACTGTTCTGTGAATAATTGCCAAGAGCAATCCGGTTCAGGCCAAGGTACGGTAGCTTCAGCAATTGGAATGAACCATTGAGTAGAGTAGAAGAAAGTGTTTCGGAATTGTATTGATTGAATAGACTTGCATCAAATTGGGTGGATAATACGGAATCTACTTCAATATTTTTGAACTTTTGCTCATGAGTTTTTTCCCGATTGAAATATTTTTCAGGTTCTCTATACAGATGAAGACAAAGTATTTGATATAAAATATGTTCGAAACGCAACCCATTTGAATTATAACAACGATATTTCCCCTAACGTCGATGAAACATTTATCGATGGGAGCTTCAAATTTCAGTTAGGTCGGATACATTGCACATTTCTGTACAAACTCGTCGTCCAACTTCAGGTTAGTTTTTAACTCTAGTATTTCTTATACTAGAAATCAACCAGTGAATTTTTTTGTTCAGAGGTTCGTGACGAATTTAGAAGCTCTGCCGTTTTTAGAGAAAATGTCCACAAAACTAAAACTTTTCCTAACAGATATAACGAAAAGTTTGAAAAACGACACCAAAATTAATTTATCCATAAATATTTGTGGGCCAGTATTCATCATACCTCAAAAATCGTCATCTCCCAATGTTTTAGTGTTAGACACAGGTATATTGAATAAAACATCGAATTTTTGAATGTTTTTATCGCCCAGTTTTTTAGGAGAATTGAGGGTCGAAAATTTCTTCAAAGATTATTCAACCGATATTACTGAAAATATTTTAGTAAAACTTAGTGGGGTTACAGCATCGAGAGGCGTGATGACCTTGACATCTACACTAGAAATGCAGGTGAGAAATATATTTATATAATTCCACAAGGATACGTTCTAGGTCCTGTAGCACTACCTATTTGAACTATTACCAAACTTGAATTAGCAAATGATTTATGATTCCAGGAAACTCTCATAGAACCAATCACACTGAACATGGACATCAAACGGTTTACGAGTTCAAGGTCATCACAAAACATTTGGGACATCGACAGCATCATCGACAGCATCCAAGTGACATTAGGACAAAGAGATCTTACCACCCTGATGTTAATATATACCGATAACATAGGGGAAGGGAAGCTGCTGGATTTATTTCCGGTTCAAACTAAGTCTCCAACGCATTTGATCGAGTCCGACGACAGCGTGAGAACCTTAGAGGCGTTTTTCAGCGAACCAAAACAAAAGAATATATCTGCTAAGTCTACGATAGAAGAAATAAGACTCATGCTTTTCTTCGACTCAGGGGAGTTACTTAGTTCGCCGATTCGGGATTTGAGTCATGGATTGTGCAAATTGGAAGTTGCTGATATAGATATTTCGTTTTTTGTATATAACGATAAGAGCTTGGATGGTAAACTATCCGTCGATACTATTTTTATAGAAGAAATTGGTCCAGAAGCTAATGCATTTGATAAAATGTGAGTATCATCCCTCCCAATCATTTTGAAAGCAATAGCCTTTTCTTTCAGCATACTACAATCGCCAACAGACGACCACAAAAATAATAACTGCAACATCACTGTTAACAACCCTCCAATTGTCGATGTCACCTTTCATCAAAATAAAAACGGCGATAAATCATCAGATGTGATCATAGGAAGACTGAGTCTGAGCCTGTCCATCCCTTTCTGCGAAAAACTAGCTTTATTCGTGATTGAGTGCCTTCCTAAAGAAACTACAGACGTAGGCATCGTCAATCCTGGATACGAAGCTGAAGTCTACACCTCTGTGTCCCAAAAGTCATACCTAACAAGCGTTACTCTATCAATACGAGTCAACCGACCAGAGTTTATGTTTTTGGTGGAAACTACTTCGAATAAGAAAAGGTATTTCATTACGAAAAGCGAGATCCTAATGGACTACTCGAGGCACGCCAACAGACTCAACCTGGTAATGTCTTTGTCAGGCCTTCACAGTCTATTCTTCGACCTAAATGAATATTCCGAAGAACCATATGTCATTTTGAAACAATGTGACCTCGAAATATGCAAGAGCTTTTCTGGTGAGTCTGGCGAGAAAATAACAATGGCCATCTCATCCATTTACATCAAGCTTTGCAGCGAAGTCGTTCACTCGTTTAACGACATATTAAACGATATCGTGGAGCACTTCAAGGTCCCCGAAGTCGAAACAATCAAATCAGAAAGGCTGAAGGCAGCTAAAACTCCTGAAGTTGAAGATCTGTGGGAACCGAAGAAGTTGAATGAGTTCGTAGACGTGCAAACAGTTCAAGACGCTAAAACGGATAATACTGTTGTAATCCACGAGATATTTCTTGTACCGAAGTTTGATTTCGTGGTTATATTCGAGCTTGAGCAAGTTCAAGTCTTGTTGGTCAAATCCACTGTGGAACTCACTCTTTACGACTGGTCCTCTATTTTGAATTGCACGTGCGAGCTCTCTTTGCAGGCCAACTATTTCAACGAACTCGTCCAAAGCTGGGAACCTCTCATAGAACCTATCGTCATGGATGAAAAAGAGTACAAACCCTGGGAAATAATCATTAAAGTTTTCCAAGATAAGTCGCATCCCATGTTGGACAACACTGAGTGCAAGAGAAAAGACAAGCCACCAAAGAAGAAGGTCGCTAGTAGATCAGTGACTACAACTGAAGATGAAGACTCTGGAGACGATATGATGTATTTGGAGCCACCAAATTTGATCACCGTTGGCCATAATAGAAGAGTAAAAACTAGTTTGTCGACTTTTCTGGATGATTCAGACTCAGAGAATGAAGACGGAGCAATGGAAAGGTTGGCTGCTGCTATCTCAGATCTTTTCACAGGTATGCTTTTCAACACCATATCAATGAGGCACAAGTAGGTTAGGTTAGGTCAACCCGCAAGGGTTTATTGCAGCATAAGTAACAGTGACTTTGATATGATCAATTTATTCAACTGATTCAACTTTGCTCAGGAAGTTGCTGATGTAGTTAGTGCTAGTCAGTTTTGGTCAATTTCTCTACCAAATATTGTACACTTCACACATTTTAGGTGAAACACCATACCTCGTAATTATTGTGGAAGGGACAAGTATGATATGAAGTCCTTCTTCTGCACACACTTTTGGGTCAGTCATATAAATTTTTTTCATTTCTCTTTCATTTCAGGAGACTGGAATGAAAATGAAGATAGCGACTGTGGTCATTCGAGCGACGGTGATGATGATCTCGAAGAAACAGAAAGACCGAAAGACAAACTTGATATGCACTTCAACAAATCCTATTACATTCTGATGGACGCCAAAGAGTCCTTCAACGTTACGATATCTCCGAATATCATAAAACTATTAAATGAACTCATCACCCAATACTCCAACAAAATCATTTCAGTGCGAAGCAACAGAAAGTTGATCAGTTTGACTAATGACATCGGACCTCAAACCAGAGTCGAGCTTTATGAAAAACAGAACTCAGAAGAAAACAAATTGTTGTGTTCGAAAAGGTACGAGAACGAAGACTCTGCTCCAAGCAGTCCAAATAAGAGTCAGTATTTCTTGCCAGAATACCTTGACAATAATTACGATGATAAGGAAAGGTAAGTACTACCAAGACCATAACTGGAAGAGAGTGTGTTGAGCTTTGAACCCTCAGAAACCCTTTCTCAATGTATCCATAGACTTATGAATACTAAGAAATTGTTAATGAATGTCGATAAGTTCCATAGTTCTAGTACTACTCCTAATAAATGAGAATATGGTCAAAACACCTCTTCAAATCAATGAACGTACGAAACATTTTGATCCGTTTGTTATTTTACAAATCTACTATTATCCACTACTTTTCTCTTGAAGAGGGAATACCATGTTGATAGTTGATCTAGTTGTATCTTTAGCGAATTCGTGTCAAGTTCCTTCTGACGGTAAAGTCACCTCTACTCGACCACTCAACACAATAGTCCTTGAGAGCTGTTCCTTGCTTGTAGATATGCTTTTCCTTGTTGCTCAGTCATTATTCATGTTCTTTGTCTTCTATGTTCATAAGATTCACTCATTGTAGATATAGTGCGTACTAACTTATTGATTTTTCCTCCAACTCCAATACTTTTTCTTATGATGCACTGTTTGGAACCTTTGGTGTAGTAATGAATAGTACGGGATTTTTTCCCAACACCAAATTGTTATTTTCAACACCTCGACACGTGTTTCGATCACCAAGTGATCAACTTCAAAGAGGAAAATTAAAACTTCTCTTCCTCTTTGAAGATGATCACTTGGTGATCAAAACACGTGTCGAGGTGTTAAAAATAACGATTAGGTGTTGGGAAAAAACTCCAGTAATATTCCAATACTTTTGACAAGGTAATTCTCCTTAACTTGGTTCACATTCTTTCAGAAGTATTCCTAAGGCTTCAGAAAGAATCAAAACCGAATCCTGCAAGGCCTGCTTCAGTTCGTTTATTGTCCAGAGCCTTAAATATCACTTGGCTGCTTTCCGGAATGTTCTGCGCTATTTCTAGTGCTTAACCTACTGAACTAATGAGGTCACCGTGTCTTCTTTCAACCAGCTGTAGTTGTGTACTGTTTGTAATTATTGGTAATAAATATTTCAGAGTGACTATCCTGACTTCATTATTCTCATTTGAACTTTTTGAAATCGGTGTCCTCTGTCTTGAAAGAATTGTTGACTCATTCAGTTTCTTGTTCACTTCTTTCATGAACCGTTATTCACGTTTCGAACTCCAAATGTTTCGTTTTGTACTTGTTGATTTTTCCCCTGCATTTTGTTGAAAATCTTGATAAATTCGCTCCACTTGCCAGACCAACTAACTGTTCCTCTTGGTTCTCCTATCTTGTCCTCCATTTCCTTTAATTTTTTCATTTTTTTATTACTCTAGTTATTTCAGCAGTAACTATTTCCTTTCTCCTTCTTCTTTTCCTTTTATCCATTTCTTTTTTCTCTCCTGTTCTTTCAGTTCCTCTTTAATTACCTGTTGTTTTTGCATTCTTTTCGTCAGTTTGCTTCTTTCTCTAGGTATTCCCTCAGCTCGCCCTAATTGCTTCCCATTAACTTATTGATTATTGCCACCATATCATCATATAGTTAAGTAGTTGTCTCGTAATCTGCTTCATAGGTGTCAATTCTACCTATCATTTCTTCTTTTGTCAGGATCACACCTACCCACACAACCTATTAACAACGCTTCATTTCTCACTTAACTCATTGTTCAGTTTCACAGATGATGGAAAAGAAGACTACGAATTAATGTACGACTTCGAAACTTTATCCAGTCTACAATTTCCCGATGAGACAACTCCGCAGCTCTACGACAAGATAAACAGAAATTTCATGAAAATATTCGTTCCCAATTTCCTCCCCGTACAAACCAACTGCTCCCGAAGGGAATGGGAAAAACTGATCAGGATCAATTCAGTAAATTCTCCACAAACCTACCATCTTGCGGCCAGACACAGTATCGGCAAATCAGGAAGAGTTGTCGTCATCAGTTCCCCTCTGAAAGTAAGTATTGACATGATTATCTCACACGAGACCAAGCACTGTTTTTTCAGATAAAAAATGAAACTTGCTTCGCTCTAAGTGTCCTTTATCAACCGTCCATCCTGCAACAGATGAACTTGGAACCGGTTGGAGAGATGACAAATCCTTTCGAAACAACCATGAGAATTGCTGTGCTAGAAGCTCAAGAAGAATACAATGTACCTTTGCACATAGCATATCACTGCAAGCTTTTCATACAACCCGCTTATGCAGAGTGAGTTTTCATTAGACATATTTTTCTAAAATAGTTTCAGCACGTTCCTATGGACACAGTCTCTAATATTCTCCATATTTTTCAAAATGTCACTATATTATCAACTATTGCATGACATTCCAAGACATTTCCTTGTGTTTTGAAAATTGTAAAATTATTATCATGGAAAAGTGAATACTCTCACATCTGTGTGGTTTCTATTCATTTGATGGTTCTCATCTGCGTATAACCGCAAGCCTTTGATCATTTCCAATAGTCCATTTGCAGATGCCTCAAACTTCCGCAGTTGTAGCAACACACGTTTTTTTCCCAAAAAATGTTTGAACTTGCATGTCTCTTATTAGCTGAGGACTCATTGTAACTCGGTATTCTTTGAGTCTTCGACGAAGGCATCTACTCTAGTCTGCTCAAGAAGGTCTCTTAGAAAGGCCACATCAATTATCCTTTCGATATAATAATAATAATAATGATAATAATGTATTTATTTCCAATGAAAAATAAAATGTTACATGATATTCGTCTTGTTACTCAGAAATCCCAAGGGGGAATTCACCCCAAGGTGCTCTACCACTCAACCCTTGCTATTTTGAATATTCATAATATAACTTAAAGACTAACCTAACTAATCCTAAAACCTAAATTTATATAACCCAGTTTTTGGCATTTGTTCCTTTCCTGAATATTCACCACCAACAGAATGAAAAAGAAAACAAAAAATTTATATGGGAGATAACAAAAATGACTACTTGTTAAAAACACATATTATAAAAAAAGGGGTATACGAAAGAAAAATGCATCAGGATGTGTTAACTTACAGAAAACTTTTAAGCTCTTTTTTGAATTTATAAAAATTACTATGGTGTTTTAGCGAATCGGAAATAGAATTATAAAGATGAATAATCGAATACGAAAAACTTCTCTGGAAAACTGAGGTCTTGTATTGTGGACATGTGATTACATTTTTGTTTCTCAAATTTACGTTGTGTACGTCTGTCCTGAATGTTATTTTACGATATAAATAAGGCAGATTTCTGTATAACACCAACGTTCCGGTCGAAGAAGCACTCCAAATCATACAAAGAAAGCTATCCGAAGACGGGAACCTGAAAGAGAGAACGAATCTACCTATAGAAGTAATCATGGAATTACTAGGATGCTGTGTACGAAACTGTTATTTCCAACTGAAGGACGAATTCTTTACACAAGATGAGGGACTGCCAATGGAATCGCCACTTTCACCAGTCATAGCCAACATATATGGAGTGGTTTGAAACTCTAGCCATTGAAGAAGCCCACAAGAAACCTCGAGTCTGGTTGAGATATGTTGACGACACCTTCATAATATGGAACCATGGGAATATTGAACTAGACGCCTTCCTGAAACACATCAACAGCGTGAGACCTTCCATCAATTTCACAATGGAGAAGGAAGTCCACAACGAATTGCCATTCTTAGACGTTTTGGTGAAGAGGACCGACACTAAGTGGGAAACATCTGTATACCGAAAACCCACTCATACGGGACAGTATCTGAACCACGAATCCAACCACCATCAATCGACTAAAAAAGGAATCATCAAGACTCTATTAGACCGTGCTTTTGGGCTCTGTAATACGAAGGAAGGTCTCGAGAAGGAACTAGACATCATCAAAAATGATCTTCAACGGAATGGCTACTCCAAAGCGATGGTAGAAAAGACTTTGGCTAGAAGACAGCAGGAGCCTCGCAAGGAAGATAAGTCGTCACAACCAGTGCTTGCACTTCCCTACATCAGAGGATTATCGGAGAGGATAAGAAGAATTGGTTCCAAATACAACATCAGAACCTCCTTCAGATCCGGTAACACTATCCGTAGCAGCCTCACGAAAACCAGGCCACCAAACGCGGACTGCGATTCCAAGAATTGCATTTACCGGATACCCTGTGAGTGCGGAAAATCCTATATTGGTGAAACTAAGACGCCATTGAATGTTCGCATTGCCGAGCACAAGAAACACACACAGCGAGGGGAAACCAACAAATCAGGAATAGCACACCATGTTTGGACCCATCAACACAATATCGAGTGGTCCCAAGCTGAGATCTTGCTCAGAGAGGAACATTGGTTTAGGAGAAAATTCAAGGAAGCCGCATACATGTTATCCAACAACGTATTCAGCCAAGCCAGCGTAGAAATACGCAACATATGGAAACCCATCATCAAGCGAAAAATGGCCAACTCCCGCCAAAACGGTCATCTCCCACGGAACCAGTGAAGCGGAAAATGGAAAGCGGGGATAAGTGAAAGTACTCGAACGACCTATAAATAGTCATCTCTCGGAGGAATCAGTCCAGTCATCACCCGAAGACTATTGTAGATACTAACAATCGAAACGTCGTGAACTAACGTGACTTGGAATCTCTTCACTTTTTATTTTTATTTTCTTTTTTCATTTCTTTATTTTTATTTATTCAATTGTTCTATTTTTACTTGTATTTTATTTCACTATTATTTCACTTCAGGTTTATTTTGGTTAATATAATTGTTATTTTCAACTATTCATTTTCAATTCTTCTTTTCAGTTGTTTCAGGGATTTCAAATCATTTTATATACTACACAATGGAAGTCCGAACTAGTGAAATTCACGTTTGATATAGTTTCTAAGTCATTGTTCAACTTTCTAGCAGCGTTGTTCAGGTCATCAACTTTGAAAGGGAGGTATAGCTGAATGTCATCAGCATACATGTGTATTTTACAATGTTCAACATGTTTGTGAAATTGGCTAGTATAAAGTGAAAACAGTGGTCCCAGAGATACTCCCAAGGTAACATTTCTAGCTGCAGATAATTGATGTCCCAATTTAACGCTTTGTGTACGATTGTTGAGATATGATTGACAAAGCTGCAGCGATTCCGTACAGACTCCACTTGTTTTCAAGATCTTTAGTAAAGTATCATGCCTAACTGTCGCATAGCCTCGCAAGGTCTCCTGCACCTGAGTTAGTTGTGGTAAACCAAGTGATGTGATCCATTTTGGTTGCTGTCCGCAAAGTTATGAAAAATATTTCCAATAACAGACGTCGCAGTTCTAGCACTAATGACGTGGTTTTTTTTCGTCCATGACTGACCATCGAGAATTAAAGACATCAGAGTTTTACCTGGTGATCTGATTTCTGTTGGTAAGGCTGTTTTCTTCAATCCAAGTGGATTGAGCAATTTCTTCGAACTACTTTTTAATCTCACAAACTCTGCCGCTAAAAATCTATATACCACTACACACCAGTTGTCATGTTGAAATGTTCTCTCATTTCTCTTGATCACTACTTGTTTGTGCTTCTTGTTGCAAAATGTGTCTCAGCAACTCTTCCTGTTCATCTTCTCTTTCACCTTCTTGTTCTTTCGGTTCTTCTTTTCACTTCTTTCTGCTCCAGTTGTTTCAACAATGTCTTTAGTTTTTTGCTGTTCTATCCGTTCTTCTTGTCTCCTTTCTTATTCTCTTCCATTTTCATTTCATGTTTCCATACCTTAATTATTTGCTCTCCACCACCTCGTCTGAGATTTTCGCTCTTGTATTCACCATATCCACTGGATCCGCTCCAAGCTCATTTTTTTGGTACCATTTCTTATTTTACCTATATTCCCAAAGCTGAGCTTGTATGCGTTGTCAATAATAATACTGTAACAACACTTAAAATTGGTTTCACTTGTACACTGGTATTCCATTTTAGGTTCACGAACTCAGGAGACCTTTTTTTCTTTTCGTACGTCTGTTCTTTGTAACTAACAACCAAATTACCTATTGTGTTGAGACTGATGGTGAATGATTTTGGAAATAGGGTTCCACTATCCTTGAAATTTCATACTGTAATACAATGGGCTCCTCTATAAGTATATTTGTTTTATTTTTCAGGGGTCATTATGCTTCAGACTCAGGAATATGGTGGAAAGACCTTGCGACAGAAATGGACAGTGCCCACGATCTCCATTGCAAGCCAAAATCAAATTCGAACGTGGAAATTTTCTCCTTGAGAGTGATGTTGAGACGCAACATAGAAACAAAGAATTTACAAACACACTCCATACCAAACTACATAATATACCTCTTACCACCCCTGATAATTTATAACTTTTTACCATATACTCTGGAAGTTCTCAACATCGGCCTCAAACAAGTGATTAAAGTCGAACCAGGAGAGAAAAACAGTGTATATTCCTTCGATTTCTCTAAAGACCAAAGGGTTTTGATTAGGGTCAAACACAACTCAACCACATGGACTGGCAATCTAAACTTAACTCAGCATCTTGAGGAGAAAATAATTGTTTTGAGCACCGAGAACAAAGAAGAAGTGACTAACTTGGCGGTGAACGTGAAAAGCGATAGAGAGTGCAGTTGTAACCTCTTCTTCTACACGCCTTACTGGATCGTGAATAAAACCGGACTACCTTTACAAATCAAGGTTAGTTTGGAAATATCCCTGCAGGTATATCGAAATATAGGTGATATTCAGTTGGTGTACCTACACTATTTTATGAAAATTCATAATGACGTGTCAGTTCAGCCACAATTTATAATCTTGTGGTTTTCCAAAATTACTTTTACTCTATTTATTACTACTTATATGGATGGTGCATTAATCACAGATGGTAAAAAATTCTTAGATTTTCGCTTCTAGTTTTTTTTCTTATTTGGTCCTTTTATATTACTTGGCCATGAGTATCATCAGGTATTTTGATCAAAAATACTATTTTCATTATTGAAACTGTTTCTCTTACAAATAAAAAAATATTTCATTATCAAACAGACAAATGATTCATAGTAGTGGAGGATCATGTAGTAAGCAATACCAACAACCACCGACGCCTTTGAAGAAGCACTGAAAACTAAAATTTCAGCTTCCTAATGGCATTTTTTATATTTTTTGTAACTCAAGCTACTATACTTTTTGGTTTTCAGGCGACGGCATCAAATTCCCTCTACAATTGCGTCAACGAAGACATCTTGCTCTTCACCTACAAGAGACACGGGAAACAAACTCTCAGTGTTCGAGTGTACGAGTCCAACTGGTCCAATGAGTTCGGCCTAGAATGCGCGGGAACTACTGGTCTGATTATTTGCAAAGATGTGGAAAGGAAGAAAAAATACATGTTTTTCTTGAACACACGGCTTTCTAGTATTTGTCCAAGGTTGACGAAAATCGTTACGATCCTTCCAAGTTTCTTGGTTACCAACAACACCAACAGACCACTGAGGTAAACATTTTATGGAATTTGATGACTAGTTTGCATGTCAGCAATGAATGTCTTTAAGGTTTATGGAACATAATGAGAAGACTGACCTGTGGGTCGATTTAGGGCCTTATCAAACGGTGATCTTCTGGCCAGAGACGTCAACTATGGAGATGTATGTGAAGTACAGAGACAGCAAATTAATTTCCCAATCGTTCTTCATATCGAGTCAACACAGAACGGTTTTGAGAATCGATAAAGGGGTTAGTATTGCGTGAAGGAATATGCACCAGTAGTTGGCACTAAAGTAATAAACATTAACATTTGTCTTTTTTGAATACCAATTCAAGTTCGTAATCTCCAGACCTGAGTCCGGCTCGATGTACAAACTTCAAGGCAAACAGCAAGAGCTAAGTTGATTCTTTTTTTTTCAATTCCCCTCCTAAAACTGTCGACTTACTCATTTTTCCTTGGTAGAAAAGAACTGTTTCCTCTCTCAAAATTATAGTCGTTTCCATTAATTTCAAATTGAGAAACTACTAACCACTTGATAAGTTTCCACCATTAGGTTGGTGTGTTAAATTAACTAAGTTTTTGATTCGTTTTTCATCAGATTAATGAAATCAAAATGATCAGTATTATCTACTCGATAGGTTAGTATTTATTTCAATAATCTGAATGGAAGAAATGGTTTCTACGTAATATAAAAACTCGGGCAAAGACTAAGAACATTTCCAACATCTTCAAATTCCACTGAATGTACTGTGTATGCATTTTTTGTGAACCAAATAATCTTGACGTTAAAGGCTTCTATGCCAAGTTACACTCTTGTGCAAACTTCATTTTGGCAGCAATATTCGTTATTTGGAAAATCCATCGAAATATTCTCGAACAAGTCATGTTGAACATCAATTTTATTACTTTCTAGGGTGCCTTGACAGTGGAAATCACTGGTGGTATCAATGACTCATTCAGGATATCTTTCAATGAGTACAAGTATGGAGATGCTCCAGTAATGGTGAAAAACTACTGTGCAGACCTATTTTTGAAAATTCAACAACAAGATCTGAGTCCTGTGACGCTGTTGAATCCATATCATTCTCTGCTGTATACTTGGGACGATCCAACGAGGCCCAGGCAATTGGTGTGGAATGTATATAATAACAAAGGAACGGGGTTTTCAGTAGACATAACGAAAGATGGGTAAGTCTTTGAATCATTGATATGTGTGTTTTAAACGTGAACTCATGCTGTAAGGAACTATCCTCAGATCCATCATTCATTCCATAACATCTTGGTCGATTTTCACATAATTTCTAGACAATCAGAACAAAATTAATGCTCTTCAGTTTTCGAAAAAGGGAAGATCGCTAGTATCGCACCACAGTAAGCCCCCTCAATTCTATAGGCTACCGAAAATCCACAAGAAGGGTGTTCCGCTCAGACCTATCATAGTTCCAGGAATTCAGCTACTCAAAACTTGCCAGATTTCAATTTCCGATTTAACAACCACTACAAGGAAAAACTTCATCTTTTGTGAGGAATTCAAGGCATTTTGTCGAATTACTAGGAGCAATCGAAGTCACGGAGCAAAATCAATTCATCAGTTTAGACTTGGAAAGCTTTCACATCAACGTTCCTGTCGGAGGAGCACTCCAAATCATACAGAGAACGCTATCCGAAGACGGCGACCTGGAATATAGAACGAATTTGACTATAGCAGTAATTATGGAATTACTAGGGTGCTATGTACGAAACTGTTATTTCCAACTGAAGGACGAATTATTTACACAAAATGAGGGACTGCTAATGAAATCGCCACTTTCACCAATTATAGCCAACATATATATGGGGTGGTTTGAAACTCTGACCTTCAAAGAAACCCCGAGTCTGGTGGAGATACGTTGACGACACCTTCATAGTATGGAACCATAGAAATACAGCACTAAATGCCTTTCTGAAGCACATTAACAGCGTAAAACCTTTCATCCCCTTCACGATGGAGAAGGAAGTCCACAACGAATTACCATTCTTAGACGTATTGGTGAAGAGGACCGACACTAAGTGAGAAACATCTGTATATCAAAAACCCATTCACACAGGACAGTATCTGAATCACGAATCCAACCACCATGAATCTACTAGAAAAGGAATCATAAAGGCTCTAGTGGATATTGCTTTCGGGCTCTGATATCTTCAATGAAATGTTTACTCTAAAGTGACGGTGAAACAGACTTTGGTTAGAAGACAGCCGTCACAACCAGTGCTTGCCCTTCCTGACATATGAGAATTGTTGGAAAGGATGAAAAGAATTGGGTCCAAGTACAACATCGAAACCTAGTTCAGATCCAGTACCACCATCCTTAGCAGCCTCTCGAAAACCAAGCCACCAAATGCGAACTGCGATTCCAAGAATTGCATCAACCAGATACTCTGTGAGTGCGACAAATCCTATATCGGCCATTGAAGATCCGCATTGCCGAGCACAAGATAAACACACAGCGACGAGAAACCACCAAATCGGGAATAGCAGAGCAGGTTTGGACCCATCAATATAACATCAAGTGGTCCCAAGCTGAGATCATCCAAAGGGAGGAACACTGGTTCAAGAAGAAGTTCAAAAGAGCTGCATATATGTTGTCCAACATATGGAAACCTGTAATCAAGTGGAAAAACGATTAACTCAACCAGTAAAGCGGAGAGAGGGAAGAAAGGATAGGTGAAAGCGTTTGGACGACCTCGAAGGAATCATCCAGTCATCATCCGAAGACGATTGTGGATCTTAGTGTAAAATCTGTTCGATTCTTTTCATTTCTATTTTTTAATGATACACATTTTTTTACTCCGTGGGTATCTTCTTTCTTGATTATTTTATTCGTTTTATTTTAATTTCATTTCACGTTTCATTCCTCAATATTGTTGTAAAGCATGCCCTAAAAAAATAACGCCGACCGCCACTGGTAGCCATAAACCAATTGTGACGTGGCTAAGAGCGCGCCCAGTGAGATAGACTTTTCGCGAATGTTCGATGTTCGCTGCCGGTTTAGATGTGGCGAGAATAATGCCACCGACTTCCATGGAATTCCAACGAATTTTCTACGGCCTTAGATTGGCAAATATTAACACGATCCACTCGTCTATCGAGACAGTCGAGTGGAAGTGACAGTCCGGTACGCGGAGCGATCTAATAAAGCGATAGACATTTGAATAATACTTTAATTTCGAAGTGTTTTTGTATTAAAAGTGAAATAAAGTTGAGTTTGATTATTGTTCAGTGTAGTCAATTATTGATAAACCCACAATATAATTGATTTGTTAGCTTTTCATTTAGACCTTTTTGAGGACCGCGGTCCTCAAAAAGGTCGAACCTCGGACCATTAAATATTGTAATGTGTTGTATACCAAATATAAATTAATACGTAGATATTAATAATTAAAATAATATTTTTGAGTCACATATAATTCAACTTAGTACTTATTTCACATCAATAAGTTGCCTAGTTAACCTGTTTTACTTACCAGTACCTATAACTAATATGGTTTGATCAATTTCTTATCTAGCCTGTGTATATTTGTGCGAATTAGTTGATGTTGTGGCAGAATGGTCATATTTGGCTGACAAGTTGTTGAATCTGTCAAAACCATCACTTCAAATAGAGATAATTGATTCGCAAGAAGATATGTCTTTGCAAATGTATAAAACGGTATTCACTGAGGAATTTTGGGCCAAACATGAAAATTGCAAGAACCTAGCTATAAATTTGGCCACTATGTTTGGCTCAACATACGTACTCAAAATTGATTTTTTTGGAAAACATATATCGTTCTCGATTAACGGACGCTCACCTAGAAAACACACTTGAATTTGCTGTCCCTATCGAGAACTAAACTATAAGAAACTGACTCAAGTCCGTCAGTGTAGTTTATCACATTAATTTTAGGTGTTTTATAATTCAGAAATTGATTTGAAATCAAAATAATACATAGGTAGCACCTAATTATTATCCGTTGTTTTTTCTGGACCTCATTAAAATTTTTTCACAGTAGGTATCCGGACGCCACCCAAAACTACTTGGCGACCCCTGCATTAGACAATGGAAGTCCGAACTAGTGAAATTCACCATTGTAAACCACTTTCAAACAAACGTCTTTAGTTATAAGTTAGTTTTCGGCTTCTTTTCCTTGATAAATATTTTTTATGTAGGTTCACCTCCAACTACTTTCATTTCATTATCGTTATGACATTTTTCAGCTATGGTGAAGAAAAAATAAGGATGCACAGCGTAACTCCCACAACTAGTATTGTGGAATCTTCCAGCAGTGAAGATTCTGACAGTTCCGACAGCACCCAGCCAAACCTCAACAAAAAAGTGCACAAAGACAAAATCACCATCTACTGGTTGTGTTACCGTGACGGTCTGCAGAAAACTCTGCTTCTCACTCAAGATCTTAGAATCTACAACGGAGCTCTGAAATTTTTCCAAGAACGCTGCCACCTGGAAACTTTGGTTGCCCTATCAGGAGTGGGAATGTCAATTTTCACGTCGGAAAATGACACGAGAGAACACGTATACGTCAGTCTGGCAGATACGCCCGCTATTTGGGAAGTTAATGTTGGGCAGAAGTGGAAAACGTTAACTTTGGAGTTAGCGTCTTGGATTGAAGACAAATACCGATTGCATTACAAGAAATGCCAGCTCAAGGAATATGTGCATATAGATTTCGAAAAAATGTTCATGCTCAAACCTTTTTTCGCAGAACTACGAAGAACCTACCACCCCGCGGTGTATTTCCATTTCAGAAAGTCGCAAAACTATCAGTATTACAATTTGAGACTGCAGTCTTTCCAGATCGACAACAAACAAAGTAGCAACATAGTTCTTCATCCTATCACATCCCAAACACTGAAGGAGGTTGCTCCTTTCGCCGAAGTTTCGATTTCGAAAATATCCTCCAAAGATTCAAATATTTATAGGCACATCAAGTTTAGACTCGGGAGCTTTTTCCTCAACATCGAGAACGACTTGTTTTTAAAGATTTTCGGTATGCTGGTAAACATTAGGAAATTTTCTGATGAAGGAAGTGGGTCATACGTCAATGAAGTCAAGTCCGTTCATAAACCAATCACTGCCAGATATAACGTAAGTCGCTAATGTCGCAGTCTTCTATAATTATTTGTGGGTTGTTTGTTTTAGGATACATCACAGGGTAGCAGAAGCGTCATAGAGTACTTAACACTGACCGGTTTCAATGTACAGCTGAATATTTCAAATAAAATACAAATGGGTCTGGCCGGGAAAAAATCTCAGGCTTTCAAAGTGCTGGACTATCTTTTTCCCTACAATATGTCTCCCTACATGCCACTAGAAGGTGTTCACCATAAGTGAGTCGCGCAAAAAATTCATTTACTTATTATCATTTTTTTTCAATCCATATCTCGCACATTATAATGAATCACCAATTCGATTAGAAAACAGTCAAGAAATATAAGGTGTCAATTTGCATTACTAATGCGGGAATTGCGGAGAGGTTGTGCAGCTCGTAGATGGACATATTCTGCGCCATCTGGATGGAGAGACCCGTACTTACTTCGGGGTGAAACAACGTCACTCACAAGAGGTAACAGCAGTGGAGAACTCTCTCCGCGGCAAGTATCAGCACAAACTTTGACAGACCTGGTCATCGGAACTGTCGGGGAAGAACAAAGTTGCTGCTACGAATATGCTTGCCTTTCCAATCTTACTCTACTCGTTTGGAGTAGTGAAAGGACTCAAGAGAAGCTGTATCAACTCCACGTGAGGACCAAAAAAGCATGCATCTCCATAAGAGTTTGTATCCCATCTCATCAGGAATTCGTATCTGCATATTCCTCCACTCAAGCAGTTGATGAACTCGATTTAGTTTTCGCCACTAAAGAGGTAATCACAACTCTGTCACCGACTTGGAGCCCGTTCAGCGAAAGGCCCACATAAAAACAGCAGAGATCACTTTATTTCTGTGTCTACACTAGGATGAGCCAAAACACATGGTCTTCCTGAAAACGTCGGTTTATTGAAGCACCAGACCTTTGCTTTCTTTCTTCAGATCGAGTATGCTGAAGTCGAAAACTAAGAGGTTCATCATGGCCTGACAAAATGGTTGAGGCCTACTAGGATGGTGTATATAACACCTTGGTTTACCGCAGTCGCGGCTATAGAGGTTTCGGACACAAGGTGCAGGCCTGCCACGAGGTGTCTGTGACACCTGTGCATTCGCTCAACATATTCACTATATGTAATCTCAGCCTATATCAATCAACATAAGGCGACTTATTACCATCTACGGCACTTTCACAGTCTTGACGAGACACCGGTGTTGCCCTACGCTCTGGAGGATATTGAATCCATTGTAGAGAATGAGAAGAGACAAATTTATTGAAACTATTCATTTCACACCCTCAGGCTCAAACAAGGTATTAAGCTTGATATAGTTCTTCTTGACTATCAGAGTTAGACGATATTTGTCGAGAAGTTTTCAGCTTCTGGTGGGAAGAATATCGTCCAAAAGAGGAGGAGATACTCGAACTCCACAGACTCTATCCAAACCACTATGTTCTAGTGGTTGTTCTGACTAGTTGAATCCTTGGTGGAACGATGTCCTCTCATTGGTCATTGGAAGATAATGCTGGCGCGCTCTCTCATCTGTGCCGAAGCTTCGAGAACAGGGTCTGACCAGCTTACCATCTTTAAAAAAAATTATGATAAATGGTGGTTCTGATTATTGAGGTCCTTGGTGAAATGATGAGCCTAAAGTAGTTCTCGACCATCAGAGCAAGGCGTGGAGTTTTCAGCTCTGGGTGAGACAAATATCGTCCGAAAAGAGAAGAAAAATGGATTTAATATCAATCTAAAGTAGTTCTCGACCATCAGAGCAAGACGTGGAGTTTTCAGCTCTGAGCGAGACAAATATCGTCCGATAAGAGAAGAAAAATGGATTCAATATCAAGAGTATCTCTTCGAACTCCGCTTCGACTCTATTCAGACCACCCTTTTGAGATGCAGTCCTTGGTGGTCTTCTAACCTCGAATCTCAAGATCATGCCAGTTTGCCATACTAAGGCAGAAATCTTGGTCGGACAAATTCAGAAGGATATCATTTCTGACTCATTGCATCTGCTCAGAGCACATGATTCTCGGATTTTCGGACCCAATGATCAGTTAACCCACAGTATGGTGAGTGGTAATTGGTTGATAATGCTGGAGAGCCCTCTCGAATGTATCGGGGTTTCGGTTACAAGGACCGACCAGTCTTTGGAATGAAAGAAACGGTAATAATAATGTTTTATTCATCATAGATTACACTTCAGAATAAATTATATACATACTTAAACATTTGGAAGCACAGAAACATCATGGATTCAAACCTCAATGATTCAATTACTTTCAAATTTGATACACATTTTTGAAACCCTCTCTCCGTGTTCAAATTCTTGTGGCACCAATTCCAGAAACAGTATTTTCATATAAATTCTGTCCTGTCTATTTAGACAGTTATGGAATGTGATTTGTTAGGTCTAGCAGATTTATTCTTTTCCAGGATTCCTTCGATAGAACAAGTGGAAATCAGTGAAACTTTGTGGAAATCAATTTTGAATTTGGTTGATCAAGCTTCCGCACAATTTTTACAACAGTATTATTCACATGTCTTAGGCCTGCAAGTTTTGGTCAATACTTTTGCGATCCAGCCAGCAATTGAGGTAATTTATGGAATATTTGAAATGTATTGCGATGAAGACTGAAATTTGTGAGTGATGAAAGGATCACTTTTTGATCCGCTTCCTTTTTTAACCTGAATCATTGCATACTATATTGATTTTTGTTGAGATGTTTGTGTGATGTGAAATTTGTCTTTCGGTGTCTTCATAGTTGAGAAAAATTAGTGAACTAACGTATATTTACCACTAACAATGAGCCTGGCATCAAAACTTGGCGCTCTATTCTACTTTTGGAGAAACGCCCACTCAAAAGTCGAAAAATCGACACAATCTCGAACTTACTCCTGTTCATAAAAATTACATACACAATAAAATAGAAATTGGTGCATTTTTCAAATAGTGTTATAGCGCTTGTCATCTAGAATATAATACCAAAAATTTAAAATCGATAGCATTTACCGATACCAAGATAGACGTCTTTCAAACTGCACGTTTGTCGGAAGCTAGTATGACGTCACGAGATATATGCGATTGTCGGTAAAGCGTCTGAACCACAAAAGAAGGAGAAAAGCAATTGATTTCAGAATTAACTCTTTACAATGATGTGTAGATCATGCATAGAAGTCACTTTTATACTTCTCAGAAAAAAACGCCGAACTAATGGCGATTTCTAGCCGGCTCCGCATTTCATATATCTTGTGACGTCATACCCCATTTCGCTGAAGTGTTTCTTTGAGATTGTTTTCTAAAGAATTTTCTTTTATTTTCTTCCGTCAATATTCTGCAAGATAGGTGCCAATTTCGTTATAATGAACAAAGTGAAAGTAGCCCAATTCTTCACGATACTAAATGACACTTTCACAGGTAATTTTTTCGTTGCTTTATAAAATATAATTAGAAATTCATATGCTAATCGGCAAGATAGATTTCTGTCATTTAGGCTATGCTGTCCACAATTGATTCCATGTTTGTAGTTTGTTTGGTAAATCATGACCAGAGTCTGTAGACAGCAAACTTTTCACATGTATACTTTGCACTTAGGAAAACATGTAGGTGAGCACATCACATTTATTGCAAATTCATTGAGAACTAGGTGTTACCTTGTTCCAATTTTTGTGGTTTTTTTTGCAAATTTTCTAACAACAAAATATATTCAACTGAAGTTTCAAGCAACAAATGTTTGACGTGATTCATAGCTGTTGCAACATGAGTCCAATTTTTTTGGTGTTCGAAAATCTAAATTTCACCTTCAACACTGCCAGAGGTCTTTGAAAGTTAACTACCTTCCATCTTTTTCAGGTTGAAGAATTTGAGTCAGAAAAAATGGCGAGTTTCCTCCTTATAAACTGTGGTAAAGAAGCTTGAGAACATCAAGAGAGACTGTTTGTTTTAACCGACGAAGTAAATATATATGTTTACAGATCTTCAGTTTGACACTATCAACATGGAACTTTCAGGAAAGTTTATTATCAGGTATAGTGCTTACAAACGCCTTCGTTTGGCGAGTTTACTACGGTGATTAAATGAGAATCTGGTACTTCGAACATCCGATAACTTTTATCAACCAATCATCTTAAATACCTATACCACTATGTTCTAGTGGTTGTTCTAACTTGTTGAATCCTTGGTGGAACGATGTCCTCTCATTGGTCATTGGTTGATAATGCTGGCGCGCTCTCTCATCTGTGCCGAAGCTTCGAGAACAGAGTCTGACCAAGCTGGTCAGACCCTCTTTAAAAAAAATTATGATAAATGGTGGTTCTGATTATTGAGGTCCTTGGTGAAATGATGAGTCTAAAGTAGTTCTCGACCATCAGAGCAAGACGTGGAGTTTTCAGCTCTGAGCGAGACAAATATCGTCCGATAAGAGAAGAAAAATGGATTCAATA